TTGACGTCGATTACTCGAAGCTACGGCATTGGTGAGTCTATACCAAGTGAACTTTTTTATTTTAAACAAAAAATAATCTTTTGATTGTAGCATTATTTCTCAAAAATAACGCAATTGTTACTACAGTCTTTACTTATAAGTATAATTATACTTTCGTCTTCTTTGAAATATATTTTCTCAGACTTAACTGTACAAATGATTTACAATTAATGGTAAATGGTAATATACTGTGTCAGTTTCAAATTGTTAGATAATCTTAAAGATTCATTAATCGTCATTACTTAAAATCATAACCTAAATAAAAATTCTTCATAAATTTGCCTTTTTATCATAATTTCAATTTTCTTTTCATTTAATAATTAACAACAACATGGAGGCTAAGGAAATATGCATCATAATGAAAAAGAATAGAAAAGCAGTCCGTAAATCTGGGGCTTCATTCGGTCGATAGATCGATCGTTTGTCCCAAGAATTACACTGATTCTAACAGTTCATCTGGTATCAGCAACACCCCTGCGATAAGCTGAGTTCTGAAGCCGCCCACATTTGGAATCTCCCTCTGCTCACTTTCCACTGTTCTTCCGCAAATTAGTGATCGCTGTGCCTCGAATTGAATATTCTTTTAATCATTCGAAGTAAGTTTCATTTAACTTTTCGTTAAGTATTAGCGAAGAAAACAAACATTTTCTCCCTTTGTGAAAACAATTGTTTGTAAAATTTAATAAGCAAAATTTATATCAAAAGATTAGTGTGTATACCTAAATCTGAATTATATAGTTTTGTTTCAATAATGCCTATCGTCTATATTTTTGAATCGTCTTACAATTATAAATTCCTTGGGAGTAGTAATGAATGTAAATTAACAGCTATCTTTAATTTAGTTCGTGCAGTTCTAACGACGTTTCAAAAATGTTTTACTAATTAAAGTAACATTTTTGTTGATTACTATAGTTAAATGAATTAATTATAAATGTATATAGAAATACCATTTTATTGTTAATTTCTTAATTCATATAGTTACCGACGGAGGTATTACAAAGAAATCGTTAATACCGACAGTTTTGGGATGAAAATATTTGGTAAATTATTTCACCATGAAAAGAAAAAGAAAAAGAGACACGATTTAAAAAGAAACTCGTCAAGAAAGAAGAATTATGTGCCTCAGGATACTTTTCTCTTAGCTAGAAATCCATCGAGAAGGTACAAACGAAAACACAAGGTAAGATGCAAAGCGTTTGTTTAAATAAATATAATGGAAAGTGTTAGTCAATTATAGGTTACTTGAATTATACATAATTTCATGCAGGAGATATTTTTATTAATAATAGTATTTTACAAAATAGTATCTTTACTACGTGGGTAATTTTGTAAAATAATCTCAATAATATTCTATATGTTACGTAAATTTATAATAAAAAAAATATTAGAAAGAAATTTTTTGGTTAGAATAAAATTTCCATAACAAAAATGGTGTCCTAAATTGGTTTGGGACTTAAAGCCATCGCTAAAGACGCACACAAAGAAAAACGTCAGTTTAGCTGGAATATGACACACCTCACAAGCAGCTGGAATGTGTCGTTCTGGCTCAGGTATCACTCTTTTGTATTCACCCATTCTAACTTTCTTTCGGATTCGCTGGTAATATATACATCACATTTAATGGAACACAAAACAAAAGCAATATAGGTTAAAAATTTAAGATACATATCATTTTTTATTAAACAGTTATAAATTTATCAAGTAATCACAATGTATATGAGAACTAATATGTTCCACATGTAAATATGCTTTATTTATTTTTTGCTTAAATAAAAACAAATTAATTGAACATTTTGATTTAATATCATAATATAACTAATTTTAATATGTTCTAGAGACTCAGAGAATGAACTTGATTAAAGGAATAAAATATTAATTACAATTAAATAGAATTAGACGTAGTGTTCGCTTTGTAGATACGCCAATTTGGCTAGTTTCAGCATCTTGTACTGGACAGCTTATAATATGTGCATTCATCGTCGTATATATGCGCACGTGAATTAAGTTCAGATGTGACTTTCATATAAAGGGTGTTCCAAATCAAACAAATTAACAATTGTAACACTACTTTCAATCTTTATGAATTTAATTTTCACTGATTCACAATTCAAAAGCTTAAACAAAATAACCAAAATCGTCATGGAAAATTGCGCATTGGTACCATGTCAGAAAGTAAAATTTATTATATTGTATAGAATTAAATATTAACTTTATAGGACCTACAATATGAGTGTAGTATTAATAAAAGAAACAAATAGTAAATTAATATTTATAATTTCAGTCTAAATATAAAGGCATATATCATAATTTAAATATTTTTGTTAACGAAACATAGAGTTATTTGTTTCTGTTTTAGAAAGTAATATTATCGACTTAATTTTTAAAAATCTTTAAATATTATAATGTCAGGTTTGTAATAGATACAAAAAAAATTTAATTATTCGATAAATAGTTTAAACCTTAAATATTTCTTGAGGATTAAAATCTGGAATGGGACAAAATTTCATATTTTAGTTCACTAATTTTCTCATACAGATTTTTAATAACACGAATCTGGATGTGATTGTTCATATAACGAAAATTTCCTATTAACATAAAAGTACATATAACAAAATGATAATATTACACTATTTTACGACATTGAATCTTTATCTCGATATAAAATAAATTAAAAATAATTAACCAACCTTAAATTAATAATATTATATATTCGGGCATGTTTTAATTATTCTTTTACTTCTCACCTACCTAATATATCTTAAATTATATAATAAGTACAGTAAATTATGAATTTATTATAAATATTACACTTGCAAAACTACTAAAACGATGTCCCATACATCCTCATACTTTGAGATCGGGCCCATCACTAGTGAAGCCGAAAACCGGTGCGCAGGCACGCGCATGCTGTGCGCTCCCCCACTCTTCCCCGGTCCCCTAGCGCAGGTCCTTAGTGCCCCCCACTCATCCGATTTGCGTCGACCTGCCGCCTGCCGTAGCCAAGCCACGCTTGAAACTACGAGCCGATCTTCGGCACAAGAATTTCTCGACTTCCCGATATGCGTACAACCTCGTAAACTGCTACGATTTTTCCTCGCGTTCTTTCGTGTCGGTATCGAGTAGTTTAAAGTGAACTCAGTGATCGTGTTTGTGGTGAAGCTTTACAGTGTATATTTTACGCGTGGAACGTTGGTGGATGTTAAAAGTTATGCTAGTGTAGTTTGGAATTCCAATCATCGGAATGTGAATTTTCTTTTACAAAATACACAGTGGGATTTGTGAGCTTTCCTTTTTGAGCAACAGGAACTCGTTCAGCTATAACTGTGAGATGCTTTATGGAATCTTTCTTATATCAAATGTCACATTTTTTTTCTGTTACTCCAAAAATGATTTTGAAGGTTTCCTTTTTACATATCTGACGCAAAAACATAGGTTTTCTTGGTTTCATTTTGTTCAAATGTATCATAAATTGTCATAATGTTTTTCTATTGCAAAACTTCTTTTATGTGAAATTAGAATATTAACCATGAACATGTTTTTCTTTGATACAAATAATTTCTCGTTTCTTGTTTACTTTATTTGGTGATGAAGAACTTTGAGCAATTATGCAGCTAGTTTTTCGATTAGTTCTTCACGTTTCTTCAATTTTCCAATGTGAATAATCAAATAAGTAGTAACTTGTAATAAATCAAATTTATAAAGCGAGTAAATGTTTGTAACAATTTAAAAATTCTCGCCGGTTGAATCTGTAATAAAACGTTATTGGTAGAGTGAACGATGCGGAAGTTGTGGTGCTTCCCTGCTTTCTGAAAACTTTTTCTCATAGTCTTTCTTTTCATTGGTCGAGGGTGACTCGGATGATTGGAATTTGTTCTCCGTTGACAACGTGGTAGTAATTTTTCGAGTGTAGCCAGATCGCTTTTCACCCAAAGTTTCTTGCTTGACAAGAGCCTACGTACATGTTTATAGTCGTTCGAACTTGTCCTTGTCGATCCAGATCAAGTTTGGAAAATGGGAGTTCCAGTGGTAGAAGCACCGGAACTCTGCCAATATAGAAACTTCCAACATCGTCCCTTGTTTTTCTGAGCAACAAGTGGCGTTCGATATAACCTCAATATCTTAATTTTTTATGAATCAACGTGATATTTTGATAAAAAGTTAGAATTAATAATTAGCGGTTAAATATAGCGGTTAAATATATTTTTGTTCATCCAAAGTCTAAAATCATTACTTAAATAGGAATTATTTACAAATTATAACTAAAATAAAAAATGTACTACGCTATAGTAGTAGAATGATATAAAAGTAAATTAAATGAATCTCTCTAGGTTTTATATACATTGTTTGAAGGTATAATACGGATTTTATCCTTTTTTATGATATTAAAAATTGCAAGAAACGAGAAGAACAATTTTGTACTTGAAAAATTTGTTATCCTGAATTCTATAATGCGCAACGCACATTTCCGTGTTTTACATGTGATTTTTATAAATTTACAGTTTTATGTGATGGAAGATAATGGTCATTGGTGAAAGATATTGGCTTGCAGCATACATAACTTTTATTAAGGACCGCGAAAAATTGTTTAAAAGAAAAATAAAATTGTTTTTCCAACAAAAATATTTCCTACACCAAAAGAAGGAATTTTTAAAAATATAAAGTTGATATCGACAATTTTCCCGGTAAAACTAAAAAGTAAGAGAAATTGTGCAAGTAATAACCAGCAAAATATTGATTTGTAGCTTAAGAAGAGGTTAAATGGTTATAAAAAAGGACAAAGTAACTAAATAAAAAGTATCATAAATGATAGAGAGTATGGCTAAACATGTAACTTCAAATGTATGAAAGAGAGAAGAAGCAAAAGGAAAAAGTAATTAAATACCAAGATTAGGTCATTTAATCGAAACAGAACATTCAAGATCAACGAAGAAACCCGGTGGGTAAAATATGGAATTAGAACGATGAGGAAAGTGAAGGTCTGACCACTCGAAAGGAAAATGGAATTCCATAACTACGCGTTGCTTTGAATTGTCCGCGTGTTGTGCTCATCGTGCATGGAACGCAATGCAATTGGGAAAACTCTTTTATTGGAAATGAGGTCGTGCGATTCTGCGGTGTAAAATATTGTAGAATATCGTACAATAGAGCGGTGTATCGTACGATAGCAGAGAAGAAAAAAGAAACACATTGGATCTATCTGGCATGCACGTGGGATTAGCCATTCTTACGCTACTGCTTTGACGCTTATATGCTGGAAAACTCCGCCGAGAAAACGCACATCTTTATTTTTCTAGCAAATTAGAAATATTAATTTTTCTATTATTTTTTTATTTTATTTTAATACAATTTAAACTAGAACGAGATTAAAATAAAAAATACTATCTATAAGGAAAATTTTAATTGACAGAGAATAGAAATAAGATTGCTAAATTAAGGCGAAGTACACTTGAAAAAAATATTTTTCATGATATCTCTGCAAGAAATTTTTACGAAGTAAGAGAAAAAAAGGAACATCGAAAACGTAAAGCGATCAGGAACGTACCTATGAATATAATAAATATTTGACAAGGAAACTTGAAGGGAAAAAAAGGAAAAAGATAGGAATACTTTGTGGATAAATCCCAAGCAATGGACATTTAGAGATGAATGCAATATTTTGAGTTGAAAGATTGAAAAATTCTCTTCGTATTATTTATTTATGCAATGAAAATATGTATATTGATATTATCTGTTACATAAATAAAAAGATGAATTAAGAACAATGATAAAAAGTTTTGAAAGTAAAACAAGCTTAGGCACGTAAATATAAATAGCTTTGATAGAAATCTTTGATAGAACAAAGATGCAGGTGTAATTTAGAAAAAGAGTATACAAGAGAAAGAATGCATGTGTAGTCAAGATGGTTCCTCAGAGGTGCTAAGAGGCAAAATAGCGGATTCTAAAGACGAAGTTTCCCAACACTCGAGAATGGATAGAAACGATAATAATGTGGGTGTCGGAAATTCGGGAAATCCCCCGAATTCGTCTTCGACGACACACGGTATTCTACACAACACTTCCGGTGGAACCGATGCACAGGTGTGAATTAAAAATTTTGCATAAATAAATGAAAATATTCTGAAAATATCGCTGTCTTTATATAAAAAAAAGAAATAAAAAAATTTGGAAATATTTCTTGTTATTATATTTATCATTACTAAAAGTTCCATTTTAGAAATTAATTTCAAATTCTTTCGAAGATTTTTATAAAAAAAATCTTATGATAGTATTTTTCAAATTTATATTAATAATTTTTATAACAATAACGATCTGTAATTTAGATATTTCTAGATTAAAGTAAGCTACGTTAAATTCGAAATAATACATGATCCTGGATTAGGTTCAAGTTAAATATGTGTTAAGTAAAAGAAGAATCTTGTTAACGTGAACCCGTAGAATTTTCATCCAATTACTACTCCGCTTGTTTTCTCGAATTCTTGTCATTTATTCCTGAGAAACTAGATTCATCGAAAATTTATAGGAAAAAATGCTTCAAAGCATTTGTAATATTCATGGAATTATTTAAAATTCGTTATTCGGTAATGGACGAAACAAAAGAAATCAAGATAATGAGTTTAATTGAAAATAAAATTTTTCAGAATGGAGATAGAGGATGGGAGGTTCATCATGTTACTGTTACCAGAGTTCCCGGTTACGGATTTGGTATTGCCGTTTCTGGAGGCCGGGATAATCCCCATTTCACTAATGGCGATCCTGCTATTGCGATTTCTGATGTCCTGAAGGCTGGGCCAGCCGAAGGAAAATTACAGTAAGGGCATTTATGAAAATTATCTTACACATAAAATCAATTAGACAACTTGTTAAAAGAAATACTTTCTTAATTTCTAGATTATCTGATCAGATTGTTTTTTTAATTTATTGAATAATGTTTTCATATAACTTTCAATGTTTAGTATATTTAGTATATTGATTACTTGTACAAATTTGAGATTTAAAGTTTACTAGAATTTAAAAAATAAATAATAAAAATTAAACGTTATTATTGTAACATTAACATGTAAACTCACATAACAAAATTTATCTTTTTTTTTCTCCAGAGTAAATGATCGCATCATATCTGCTAATGGAATATCATTGGAAGGTGCCGATTATGGAGCAGCAATCCGCGTTCTTAGGGATTCTGGATCAACAGTTCTATTAGTTGTTAAGCGAAGAGCTTCATCAAATACTTCTGGAAGTGTAGTAAACTCTACTCTTCAGAGTCATCGGTTAACTCTAACAAGAAACAACAAAAAAGATGGTAAATAAAATATTTTTTATACATATTTTCTAATTGTACACATAAATAAAAATCGTTAATATTTTAAAACATTTCAATTTTATTAAAATTTAGCGAAAATAAATTCAATCATTTTATCAAGTTTTAGTTATCAATCATGTAAATATTAAAATTTCATTAAAATTTGTCCATTTCTTTAGATTTCGGAATTGTTCTCGGTTGTCGTCTTTATGTGAAAGAAGTAACTCGAGAAAACACTGGTGTAAAACCGGGAGATGTTTTAACACGAATTGGTAGTGTGGCTACTGATAATATGAGTTTGAAGGAAGCTAAGAAATTGATGGATCAGTGTAAAGATAGATTATCGATCGTGGTAACTCGAGACAATTCTTGCTGTCACGTTCAACAGCAGGCAAAAAGTGAAACTGGAGAATACCTTTCTGGGACGACGAGTTACAGTAGTCAGAACTTATACGTTCCACCCCCAACTAGACAGCCGATAGAGGACAAGAGTAATCTTGTTCCTAGAGGTCGTGCCAGAGGACCGTTGATGGATGTATCTCTTAGTCAGTTAGATCTTCCTGCAACCCCTACTGTAGATCCTCCAAGACCGCCACCTCCTAGACCAGAAGGTACAATTTCTATGAAAATGTGTGTGTG